CTGTGCTGACCTATCATTTGTGTATGTATAGTTAATCACACTGTAAATCAAATCACTTCATCTACAAATAGAGAATGGTTTTTAATGTTTTAAAATCTGGGATATGTGGCTTTTGTTAGCGTACTGTTTACGACCCACAGCTAGGTAGGTCCATGAGCTGAAGGGTTGGTCAACTGGCATGTCGAAAGTGAGGAAGCAATAGAGTGAAGCTAGTTTATGCGTGATGTAAGAAGTAAAATTTTACTATCTAGCATAATAAATATTTATTTTTCCATAGCTTATGGAGATATAGTAGTGAAACGAGCAGAATTTTTACGTTGAATGTGCTCTGCGCTTCTTCTGATGAAAGGCGTCTTACTGCAGTATTTCTATTCTTCTCCTTTATGTATGCAATTTGCTGTGTTTCAAAACTCCTATTTATCACAGAATTGAATGCAAACTATAATAAAAAAATGTATCTATATTCATCCATTACTATGATACAATCATATGCAAACTACCTCTTCCTTCTCTGGATCCACAGCTGAAAGACTGCTTAATTATTTATTCACCCTTAGTATCTGGTGTTCTTCCTATGAATCATGTTGACAATGAGCTAAATTCAAAATACATTTTGTCTTAACATGAGATTTTTTTTTTTTTGTCTCTTGGGCACAGATAGGGAGTATATAAGGAAACACAGACTTTAATTTGGTCGTTTTTCATTCTTTCTTTCTCCTGCTTAGTTTCTTAATGGCCTATTGAAATCATGTTTGATTCACAGTTTCATTTCTTTGGTTTTGATCCACTCAGCTATTCTTACCTGTTTTGACCTCTGTGCTGATTTTCACTTTCTTTTGTTCTTTTGGCCTTTCAATACCTTTTCACATTGACACTCGTGTTGCTTCCTTGTGCATCCCTTGATTCAGAGGAATGATGCACATCTGTCTCACAAGTTCTAAAACAAACTGCTTCTCTTATCTGTTGGCACCAATGCATACACACTTTGCTTTGTTTTGGAATCGATTTTAAAGTAAATGATAATTCACAAAACAAAATGTAAGCATAATGTATAATTACCCCCTGAACAATTATTATGACCTTATTCACCCATTGTTACAAAACCTGCCTCGAGCAATTTGTCTGATGTGTATTAAAGTGGAAATTTAATTCTAATTACAGTAAAGATTTACTGCAATAACTAAAGATTAAGAATGCATGTGATGTTGAGTGAAAATAGATAATATTCTCCTAAACAGAACAACAGAATATAATATAAAATATATATCCATGCTTATATTTTGCATATTATTTTCATCAGATGAGTTTTTATACTTCCTGACCGTAGCATTTTTCAATTGCCAAGGCAAACTGCTTGCTCTTTCTTGTTCCACTTCTAAAATGTGGATGTCACGTTTGTCATGTTATAAGAATTAGAGCTACTAAATCAAGGATAAATTACTGTCCATTACCCTAATTACAACCTCATTTATATCAATATAATTCCATTGAAAATGATTAGTCCCAATATTTGTTAATTTCTCTTAAGTTCCCTGAAAAAAAACCACTTCTTTAGGTCTTGGAAAACTCCCCTGATATTATTCATTAAGCTTCAGCGAGCAGTTTAGTGTAGAAGTGATTTCTTGTATTTCTGCTGATATCTGTTTGTTTACTTGCATTGTTGCAATACCAGGAAAGCACCAACACAAATCCATAGCCAAAGTATGGCCCATCCAAAAAAAAAAAAAAAAAGATTGAACTCCTCATCAACATGAAGTTCTAGGTATGACTGAAAAAGTATAACCATTTGGACTTATAATGTTAGAGTTTTTACCTGTACCAGGTGTGACTATCTCTCAAAATATAAATAAAATAACCTCTGAAGACAGGCAAGATTCCAGTTTCATCACCACTGTTTTGTTGAGCACTTCTGATGTAACCATCTGCCTTTTATGTAGACATGTTTTGTAGAATCAATATAGAATCATAGGATGGCCTGGGTTGAAAAGGACCTCAGAGATCATCTAGTTTAAACCCCCTGCCATGTGCAGGGTCACCAACCACCAGACCAGGCTGCCCAGAGCCACATCCAGCCTGGCCTTGCCTCCACAACCTCCTTGGGCAACCTGTTCCAGTGTGTCACCACCCTCTCTGTGGAAAAACTTCCTTGTAATATCTAACCTAAACCTCCCCTGTCTTAGTTTTAACCCATTTCCCATTGTCCTATCACTGTCCACCCTTGCAAACAGTCATTCCCCCTCCTGTTTATATGCTCCTTTCAAATATTGGAAAGCCACAATGAGGTCTCTCCAGAGCCTTCTCTTCTCCAAGCTAAATAAGGCCTTCTGTCATCTTCTCCTCATAGGAGCGTTGTTCCAGCCCTCTGATCATCTTGGTGGCCCTCCTCTGGACCTGCTCCAAGAGCTCCACGTCCTTCCTGTACTGGGGGTCCCAGGCCTGGACACAATACTCTAGATGGGCTTTGCAAGAGCAGGACAATCACCTCCCTCTGCCGGCTGGCCACCCCTTTTTTAATGCAGCCCAGAACATAGTATTTAATTGGTTATTTTCTAGCAAATGCCAATAGTCTATCTGAATTAATTCCAAGCAGTCCTCTAGTAGAATAGCGTAAATCTGTAGGCTGTTGGCCTACCATATAAAATGAAATCAGACAATATAGCCAAACTGCAGCACATCTGAAAACATAGTTGTTATTAATCTCCTGTCTTGGTAATTGCTTCAGTTAGTCATACGACAAGTAGTCAGTCATTCACTATATTCCAGCTAACCTACTGCTGCCTTCTGCTTTGCCCAAGGAAATGTGATTTGTAAATTCTTGGTGTAACTAGATAACCTTGACCTTTGTCATCAGTTTCTGATACAAACAGATACATCCTCAAAGAAACAAATTGAATTTTCTTTTTCTACTTCAGCATGATATTATAAAAGCTTTGCAATTCTTCAGTCTCTTTTATGTATTTATAATGCACATTTGCAAATGTTGTTTGAAGAATATTAGTAATATTGCTAAGTTAAGCATGAAAAATTACACAAACTGCTGCTCAGTTTATAGTAGAGCAATCTTCTTTGGCCATTTTATGTATGAGCGTTATGATGCCATCTTTAACGGCATATTAACACCGTTTCTTCACAAAGGGTTGCAGATTGAACCCCTCCAGATGCTGACTGTAAAGGAAGAAATGATATTTCTAATGAGCCAAGGCTCCAGCCCTGTGTGTTGTAGATGCCATACTGATGCACAAACTAACAGTGAGAAGGTGACTGGGAGCAGCTTTGGAAGCAACGTTGATCAGGGCAGCAGTGTGTAATTCTATGTCTTGAGACTCCTTTCTCTTCCTGTAGACTTCAGACAGATTTATGGTGCAGCTTTCTTTCTCTGCGGCAAAAATGAGCAAAGATTCTACAGAGAACAGGCTCGAATGCTGTACTCATCCCAGGCATTAGGCATTGTGCAGGCTACGTGATCATTTAATTAGAGACTGTATAAATATGCTCACGAGGAAATTCAGGCATCACAGTCTCAGTCCTGGCATTACAAAACTTAAATGCCAGAAAATAAAGCATTTTTTTTTTAAATGTTCTACTTTTTTTTTCCATGTGTCATTGGCTGTTGTTTTATCAGGCATGTTAGATTTAAAAAAAAAGAACGGGATCACAGACATCTACAGGTCATCAGCAGAGCAGTAACTGCTATGTTAACTACCAACTCAGGATGACAAGCCAGCTTATATCAGCAGAGTGGCTGTCATCCTTTACATGGGCCATTTCTAGCCCTGTTTCAAAGACAATTGAAAATAGCAGAATGACAGCCAGACCTCGGCAGTTGTATCTCACCTTAAAATCTTTCAGATTTTCCTGTCCAGGCTGTGCATTGCCCTGCTGTGGGGGTGCAGGGTGGCGAATCTTCAGCTGTTGCGCATAGTCAGCATTCCAGCTGCTTGTCTGAAATCAGTGAGTCATTTGCAGCATCACCATCTTTGCTACTTACAAATCAGCAAATCTATTTATGCTATACACTGCAGTATAGCACGTGCATAAATCAGTTACGTATATGTGTTTATGCACAGGTACTACAAGTATCCAGGTGGCAGCAGCACGGAGCTCACATGGGTTAATTTTTCTTGCCAACAATTCTCTTTATAAGCTGGTCTGCTCCTGCTGCTGCGTACTATACTTGGCTGCACCTGCTCAGATCCACATACCCAGTGCTGTGATGACAACTGTCGTCAGTGATTTTGTATCTCACAGAGACTCTTTGATCAAGAAAAGACTGTATTTATCGTTGGCAGCCAATGCTTACAGTAAGCATGTTTTAAAATCAAATTCTTGTTTAATGAAGGGGAACACTGTGTTTGTCTTTTGATATTCTGAACCTGGATTTATCACTGCTTAGAGTACATGACAGGCTTTGAAAAATGAAACTGCTATGGCTTTCCTTTCTGTGGTACTGATACTGGGACTGCAAATATTATGAAGTTATCCCTGGAGGAGTTAGATCTCTTGTAGTAAAGGCAATACCTTTGAATCTTTTACTTTAAAATTCTGCATGTATTCTCCATTTATTTGGAGGAGAGTATATGGTTCCACTAAGCCATGCTCATAGTGATGTATCTGAAATGAAGTAATTTATCCAAGCATTTTTGAAGTCAGAAAAATTATAAAGAGAAAAAAGAACCTCAGAGAACCCTGCACTGGTAAACCTTTAACTGAAAGTGGCATATCCAGGAAGTAAGTAAATAAGAACCAAAAGTGCAAGGAAAGGGGAATGTTAAGAAAATAGAAATGTTGGTGGCTCTGTCCTCCAGTTTAGAAGAAAATACATCGCAGTGACTCAAGCCTGACACCGAAGAGATTTCCCTTAAAATTTGCAGTAAAAAAATAGCTGATAATAGTGGTCTCTGGACTTCCAAAAATCTGCTTTTTCCTTCTTTTTTTCCTTTTTTTCCTTCTGCTGAAGTTTTTACAATAAAATTATACCAATCAGAGCTGCTCTTTTTCAGTCAGATGCTACTGACATGAGCAAAGACCCATCTAGGGCTTCCTGGGACGATGATGCTACTCTTCTCCTAATGCAGGTAATCTCATATGCTATCCTTTAATTTAGAAATGTATTAGTCTTCTCTTGAAATAATTTAGGGTTTTTTTTTTGTTTTTTTCTTTTTTTTAACATTACCATTACTCCCATTGAAAAATGTATCTGCTATCCGTTTACACTACTTTACAATTCTTATTAAAAAATGTCTTTCAGGTTATGCCTCTTCCTCCAAAGCATCATTTAATGCCTGAGTTTTGTGTAGTCATTTTCTCTCACAACCTTCCTTTTTGAAGACTAAACACTCAAGGACAGGCTCTGTTCTCTTTATCATCTGAGTAGCCATGTTTCTATTTGAATTAATCTTTCCTGAACAGTACAGAGTGTACACTGTGTTTGAGATGAAAATTCAGCATTTAAAAAAAACCATTAATATTCAGGTATCTTTGCTAGAAACACCTCCTTCTTGCATTCTGCACGATACTTGCCTTTTTCACAGCTGTGCACATTTTGTCTCAGTTTCAGTAGCTGACAATTTTCTGACAGTCTTCTGTGGCTGATTTAAGTGCTTTTTTTCTTCTGATATTTCCAGCTCTCAGCATACCACAAAGCTTCCTCTTGTTACTCCCCAGTAGCGTTATGTAGCATTCACACTGCCTCATTTAATTCCAATTTATTAATCTATTCCTTAAGGACAACCATATTTTCCTAGAGCCCAGTCACTCTCAGGGTCAATGACCTAGAATGCTGTTACTGCCAGAAAGCAGAACCAGAACGCTGAATCTGATTTCAAAATAATCAGTTTGAGTCTATTTTTGAAATCAGAATAAGGCCCAAACCTCCTCCAGAAGGTCTTCCTGAATTTAACCACAAGTGAGCTTCTCGTTCTTAATACTTCTACTTCAGGGCTCTGCTAAGAACTGGAAGCATTAACCAGAAGCCTGGTTAGTTTAGGAACAGTTGGAACATCTTAGATATAAAGAGTATGATCACCATCCAACCCATCCTTTTGCTGCTGGGGGACTTCAACCAGCAAAAGCTCTGTTTTGTAGCCTGGTGCTGCCCTGTGCTGCTCTGCAGGTGCCAGCAGGACCCCTGTATCTTGTGACTTTCTGTGCTTAGCTGAGATGAGCTCCATGTAATGTCCACCTGGAAGACACAGGCTGGCCATTGCTGTGAGTTCTTTTCTGCTAGCAGTGCTCTGCATAAAGCTTCTGGGCCCCATCAGCCTGAGGCTGTGTGGCAGTCCCCACCTATTTCATCTTTCACCAGTGTTGGCTGGTTTCTCCACCTCTTTGTATGTGTACTCTTGAGGTATGTGCACGTACGTATGAGCTCAGTACCCAGTGAACACAGGAGCAAGTTCACAAGGGGAGGAACATCCATCTCCTGCTCCAGCTCCCCAGCATCTAGCAGATGGCATTCATTCCTGCAGTTATGTGCAGCATCACGTGTTCATTCCAGCTCCTCAGTTCTATCGACTCGTGTTGGCAGGGGAGGCTGGGCTGCCTAAGCTCTGACAGCAAGAACACTTTGCTCATTCTTTAAATACAGTACACATTTTTCCTAATTCCCATCTTTAATATTTAAAATTAACCTTACCACGTCTTAGAAACTTCTTTTATAAGCATAAAGGCGCAATTATAATTTCAGCTTCATTTTTAAATACTTACTTTTCATCTTCTACTTTGAAGGTGGATTATACGTAAAGAAAAATGATTTAATAGAATTTTTTTCATTTGTGTTGTTGTGGAAAACACAGGAGCCACTTTTTTTACCCTCCTGAGAATTCCGACTGTAATCACATAATTAGGTGGTTATAAGAAAAAGAAAAGCTTCAAGATAGAAAGAGGTATACTTGGTTTTACATACCTCCTCCAAGTAAGTTCTGGTCTGAAATTATGCAGGACACAGCAATGAAATATGGTAGAAATCATGTGAGTACTTGGGTTTGTCATTTGTATGTCAGTGCTGTTAAGCATTTAAGTGCCTCTTCATACCTACAGATATGGTATTAAACATTACAAAGCCTGTAAAAGTATTTTACATGGCCTTTTTGGTGCATTACATATGACAGGAAGGTGATAGTAAACCCTTGCTTTTCATGAAAAATAATCATGGGAACATGACATGCCCTAATATGTAAAAACAAATACAACAACACAACAAAATGGATGTTCCCTGGTTATTTCTGTTCTAATAGTAAAACAGTGCTAAAGTTGGTAAACACTGACTGGTATTTTTGCTTTGACCAGCTCTTTTAGAGCACTCAAGCAACCAATAGAACACCTAACTTTAAAAGAGACATTTGTAAGTTTAATGAGCGTTTTTGCTCATATAATTTTAGCTTTATTTTCTCTCCTCACAGGGGTGAAGATCTGTATGCCTTGGTAGTTATTGCCATATTTACTGACGAAAAAAATCTCAAAACATGGTATAAAAACACACCAAGGGAGAAATTATAGTAATTGACACAACAGATGGATAGACAGTGTTGTAGTTACCTGCTGCCAAAGTCAATCCAAATAATGTGGCTGTACAACACTATGAGCTGCAAGGGAGAGATGAAATAAGTTGATCTGTTAGTTGACCTAATGGAATCTCCTTTCCTGGCTAAAGAAATGGAGGCACCCTTTATGTTAGGCTCTTCTGTCTAGCAGCAATTATTAGAAAACTTGTAAAACTTACTGAGTTTGAGATCTCTGGCCAGCTGTTTCCATCTGTGTAAGGAGGCTTATCACTTAGATACAGGACAGCTGCAGAAAACTTGTTTCCTCAGGATAGCCACTTAAAAAGGAAGGGTATTCACTGAAAATGAAATAGTTTAAGTCAAAGGTTTTGTTTGAGTTCGATGAATATCTGCATGCGGGGTTAGGCATGAATTGGGCACGCGCTGCATCCTTAAAGCTTTCTGTGGCCGATGGACCTGGGCAGGATGACCTCCTGGGACAGACGATGGTAGCAGTCCTGGTTTTAAAGTGCTCTAACAGAAGGTATGAAATTTCATGCAGAGAACAAGTCAGTCTCCAACACCTCCTCAACAAGAACAGCTCTTCAGGGAACTGTGTGGTGAACGATGTTCTTCCCAATCCGAATAATTCAACAGCCTATGTTTCCACTGAAAAACACAGTTTGCTTCTTTTCAACACTCTTAACCATCTTAAGTTGTCCTGCTTTTCCGTGTATTATTTTATTTTTTTTGTTTTACATCCATTGTCTTCAGTAGCGGATGTAGACAAGTTCTGTAATCCATCACAAAGTGGAATGGATCACGGCATGGCTCATCTTCCAGCTGAGGACCTGCGCTGCAATTTTAGTTAGCAAATGCAACTTGTCCAGCGGTGGGGCGTTGCAGTTTGGGCTCCGGACAGAAGAGGGGGCCCTTCGGATGGCCAGATGGAAAAGCTCAGCCAGATGTGGTCCAGCTGCGGCTCCAGAGTGCCTCCTGCCGCAGGGCCCTGTGCTGCCGACGCAGTATGGAGAGAGCTGGGGGCTTGCTGGGCAGAGGAATCTCGAGGACGGAGTGCTCAGAAGGAGATGTGTGGTTAATATTTCTGCTCCATTCCGAAGGTGGCTGAGAGAGTACAGAAGCAATGCCGGATATTTGCTCCAGAGCCTCCTTGCTGTTTGAATCTGCACTTTGGAAGGTTGTGGCTTATTCAGTCAAGGTTGTATCTTGTAAACCACCTGAGGAACACATTCCATGCAAGGTTGCCTGCATGTAAATGTGATGTTTGACACAAACTGCTGGATTCCCTGATATCTCTACTTCTACCTCGGGTAAATTTGTATCGGCTGCACTGAACAAGTAAAAATGCTTCCACACACTGTAAAGCACTCCCATAACATTGATTCAAGATTGATCACTTGCATGAGGTAATTCAGAGAGTAGTTACAGCTGCGCAAAACCTTTTATTCAGGGTTAGAATTTGACCTAGCGTGATAACCAGGCAATAAAATAGGAGTTGGCTGTCAATTTCAGGAGAAATAAGGCATCACCAGGGCTTAAAGATCTGCTTCACAACGTTTCTATCAAATAAGTCACATCTCCTGAGTGGATATTTCCACAATTTTTGACAAGGAAGAAAGAAAATATTGTCTTTGCCTAGATCTTATGAAGTGAAATAAAACTGCAATGATTGCTAGCCAAGCACATCTAAACACAGAATTAATGCAAGCACTCAGTGTGCAGAGATGTTTTTAAATCTTGATTTACAGTCTGTGTTTTGTAAATTAACAGAATCCTCACAACCCTCACATGATCTTCATCAGATAATTTTGTGTTTGAAACATGTGCCATATGTTTGAAACTGACCCTAATGCTTCTGAAGGAATGAGTGGTTGGTGTTTTCAGGATGCAGCCTGGAATCCAGTGCCGGCTGGTGAGTCATTAAATAAGGAGAATAGCATTTACAGGACGTAATACAATATATCAGTTTAGCAGAACTGAAATTTAACTTTCTCAAATGCCACTTCAGATAAACAGAACGTAGTCTTTCTCCACTGGAACTGGACCAGGTGCAGAATAAGCTGCTATAATTATGCCTGCCCTACCATGAAGACCACTGCAAGTATTTTAATCTTTCTTAATTCTTACATTACATTATGAAAACTTCATTGAAAAATACATTTCAACTGTAAAACTGTTTGAAGTATGAAATCTAAAGTGTGTCTTGAATAAATGTTGCACATCTTCATTCTGAATTGGTGAAAACCATAAGTAGGAGATATCAGAATTTATAGTGTTGTGCTATTTTATTGTTACTGAATGTGATAGAAACACACTAGGATAGAGTCTAGAGGCCAAGTTTGCCCAAATATATGAGGTCAACTCTGAGACTATTATAGGCTCTGGAAGAACAATTACAGAAGCTATAAAAGTATTCGATCCTTGGAAAAGAAGCACTGGCTTGTATAGGAGTAATAGGATAAAGCAAACACTGTCTTGTGGCTATAAATTCAGCTTCATAGGGATCAATTGCCTTTGCCCGTCCATGTACAGTTAACAACAAAAAGAATCAGAGAAGCGCAAAGTATTTTTTTCTTTCACATGTGACATAGAAAACAAAAAAGAACAGGAAAATGGGATGCTTGACTGCTTGTTTTCCTCATGTTTATTTTCTCCAAATACTCCAAATACTCATGATTACTGTCTTCTACTATGGAAATTGATGAAGAAATCAGATACGTATTTGCTGCAGTTTCAGAAACATAATATAAATCTACTTGTTTAGTTTGTCTTGTTCAACAGAAATTACAAGGCGTCCTGACAGCAAAATAGACTAATAATCATAACAAATCTAATTCATCTCTGTTCTACTTTGAACTAGAATGAACTTTCTCTGCAAGACAAGGGAACAACTCACAGATCTGTTATTCTGGAAGAATTATAAGCAAAATCAATACATGTTGCTCATGACACACATCAGTGGATTGTCATAACAGTGATTATGAGTTCTCCATCAGTAGACAGAGTGAATGCTCAGGCTACTCTGAAAGTTTCTGTTACTTGACAAAACAAAAGTCAGTTTTGTGGCCTACCTCATCCTATCTTTTTATTTAAGTAAATGTAGAAAAAGCTTGCAATCAGCATTATGGACCTTGCTGCTCACTTGCCATTTGCTAATGCGGCGGTGTCAAGCTAATAGATTTTTCAGTGAATGGCCAGAAATAAAAGCAGCCTCTATTGAGTCTGTTTACTTTGGTCATGACTTCCTATTTATTGTTTTCAGCAGAGAAAGAAGCTCAGAAAACTAATGTCCAGTAACATATGACAATTCATATCTTTACAATTTCAATATTTTTCCTGGGGAAAAGAGGAGACATTGTGCACACACAACAATCAGCACAGTGTCCTCTAGCTAATGAAGGACTGAACACTACAATAAAGCTTTGAAAAGAAAGGTTTGAGGTATCTAAACTGAAAGGAAAAGCTGGGAAAACTTTCACTTCAAATTTCCTTGAAAAAAAACAACAAACAGAGAGAGACATGATGCAGCAAAGCTGAGGGAGATTTTAAAAGCAGGAGGAAAATGTTAGAATAGAAATACCAGTCTAATAGGATTTGAGAAAACCATCCAATGGAAATAGCAAAAATGAGAAAAGTTATTATGTTAGTTTTGAACTACCAAGGATCTGCAATGTGCAAGAAATCTGTGAGAAAACAAAAAACCATTATATGGGAGAATCATAGTTTACCTCCCAGTAGTGTCTGAAGGAGAAACGAGCCATCAATTCCAGTGGATGATAAATAAGAAATTTTTTATCACTCTATGTATTTATTACCTGCAGCAACTTGGACACGTATTATCATGTCCACCTGTAACCGTATGCTTTGTATTACTCCTTCTGGTGCAGGATGCACCAAAGGAATAAGAGGATGAGCATCCAGCCAAGTCTACAGAATCACCTGCATGAGCTAGAACCAGAGCTATGACATCCTCTATTCTGTGATCCTAAAGAATTTGTTAGGAGGAATTAGTTCTATGTCAGCTCATCAGTTTGTTTCTTAGTTACTTGGCTATTTATTTCCTGACTGTATAATTAGTGAATTCTAAGATGTCAGTTACTTCTTTACTGCTGTTCTTCTACTCAGTGGGACTGCGCTTGCCTTTCTGGACAGGGGAATACATGGTACTGCAGTGCTGACTCTGCACATGAAGGATTTAGACCACTTAGATAGAGCAAAGAAACAGTGTTCTTTGCTGTGTGTGCACAAGGAGTTTGCTTCAGTATTGGTACTGCCAGCGGCATGGGTAAGAACATAAGGCTGCCTACTTCTCTTAGTGTAGTCTCTTCCTACTTAGTGAATAAACTTCTTACATTTCTCCTTCTTTCTACTTGGGTAGACAACTTATAGTCACATCTAAAATCTAATAGATTAGCAGAACACAGGTGATGCTTTCAATCTGGCTTCCTACTGTATGTGTCATTCTTTAGCTTCAATATCTTTTAGCCAATGTTTAAACAAAATTGGTAGAGGGTAGATGAAAGGTGTCCAACCCGTTGGCTTCTGTTGCACTGAATGAAGAGGAATTGTCTCAGGCCAAATATACATAGGTTGCTCTGAAAGTAATGCCTTGTATTTATTTCCATGGAAACTACAAAAGATAGAAAGTGCCCAGCAACACTTTTTGATAGCACAAATTCTCGGCTGCAAAACACTATTTTTCAGCATACTCACCATCATTAGCTATGCATTTTCGTCAGTGATGAACAAGAGCCCGCATTCCATGCTCATCTGCACCTGTAGAAGTGACCCACCATTGTCACTGTTGAAGGACACCAACCACCAACTCACTGTGCTGACATCCAGTGTTTGGTCTCCATAAACAATCAGCAAGAGTTGATACAAGCTGCAGCCCCAGCATGTCCACAGCCACGGAGCAGTCCTAATGGCAGAGACCAGGCGGGGCAGAGTCTGGTGATCTCCAGGCACATCTGAAGGGATGAAGCCTTCAAGTTGGCATGCCAAATCAGCAAGGCAGGGATGGGATCAGCAAAGCATACAACCAGCATATCTGCGAGGTGACTCGGGCAAGGACTGATAGCAAGGGCCCGGGCCTGGGGGAAGATAGCACAGTTTGTGGCTCTTTGTCGCGCTTTGCTCTTCAAAGCAGCCTGATCCCAATTCCACCGTATCAAAGTGACCTCTAGGAGCAGCAGCCAGAACAAAGGGGAGGAGGCTGGAACCTGTCTGTACATGCAGGTCCTGATACCATGCAGTGAAGTATTTGTGGGATGTACAGCGCTTTTGTGTTTTTGTTTTTTACATTCAGAGTAGGGCTCTTAAATCTGTTACTTCTGAGCAAGAAAAAAATTGCAATGAATTAAGCTAATTCTCATTTATTCAAAACCCAGCAATCCAGCTGTGGCTTCTCATATGCAGATTGACTTGGCTCCTATCCTAGTTTTAAGACTTTTACCACATTTAGCAATAACCTTCCATACCTAGCTTTGTCTGCAGCTCCTCATGTGGCAACCAGTTGTTTATAAGACAAAGACCATCTGGTTATCAGAAAAACTAGTGAGATTATGGAAAGAAATACAACCACCAAAGCCACAGAATTATAAGGTGGGTGGGTTGCTTGTGACCACCCTCATCCACAGACAGCAGGCTTTTGTGGGGCACCTCCAAGTAATCGTCTGCAATCAGCATGCTGGCTGAATGATACATGGAGCAGGGCCTTAGGAAACTAAATGTCCTTGTGTAGGGAAGTTCTGAGTCATATGGATGGGAACTGTTGATCACGGCCTGAGCCTCTGATTGCCCACCTGAGGCAAGCACTGAGTCAGCCATGGAGCACAGGTGAAGGCGATTCAGCTGCGTGACCAGAAGAGGTGGAGCTTGGCTGCACCTCTCCTAGACCCCATTTAAGGGCTGACTGCCATTGGAAAGGTTCTCTTTCTGGATCTCCCTTCTTATGGAGTTTTCTACTGTAAGCTCAGGACGTGGGTGAGCTTTTCATTTTTGATTGTCTCTTTCTACCACAATGATCTTTCCACCAAAAGCCTGTAAAATACCGTTCTATTCACACCACTCTTCTAACTGTACATTTGTTAATTGTACAGTCATATATTCACAGAAGTTTTTGAAATTTAACATTAGTGGGAAGAAAGACGTTTTGTGGAAAACTGAGTTTTAACACATGTAAGATTTAGGCAGTTTAATTATGCAGAGAAGTGGTTTGCTGCTGAAGTATTTCTTTCCTGAGCTTTGTGCTTCAATTTTGCAGCACTCTGTGGAGGATCCTGGAATAGGGGAGAGCTCGTTGCATTGAGTCCTCAGTAAGGGACTGCTGCTGCTCAAGTGAGCACTAGAGAACATGCAGGGAGCCCTTACAGGATTCAAATTGCTCTGGAAAAGAATCTGATATTTGGAAGATATTACCAGATTTCCATTTTTTTTCTCACCTCTGCTGTTGTAGAATAATTGAAATATCTACTTATATATCTATAGATAAGCCTGCAGCTATACTTAAGCTTTGTAACTGGGAAGCATAGCACTTGTTTTTTCTTCTTCTTGCTCTGAATATGTACAATCTGCTGGAAAGTATTAAAAACAGTTATATTGAAGTCAGTATGACTCTTCATCTTTGTTGCTTTTGTGAGTTAAATTTTTTGTCAGTAAAACTGAGCAGTTACATTGAATCTGAAGTGAGGTTTATGAGAATGCATGTCTGTTCCTTGTGTTACACTCACAGGTGGTTCTTCTCTTTTTCCCCTGGTGAAGAAATAAAACGTGGTTGTCATAATGGCAGAGGGACTTTTCAGAGAAAAACAATGTGTCTTTTTTTAATAGCTCTACATCAGAATTTCTTTCAAATTGTAGAGGAATTCTTCACTTATTTAGTGTCACATATAGCTAATATTGTTTCATAAAAGGTTAATAAAACCTGTGTGGTTAAATAATTGGTTTTCAGGATTGCTTCTGTGATGGGTGTTTGTCTTTGTTCCGTCACAAACTTTTACTGTGCCTGTTACTCTGTGGTGTTACTGTGAGGAGGAGCTCAGTACAGTTGAACCACATGCAGTTGCACAGAATATATCATTTCCCATGAGTAATTAATTTGGCCACTACAGTGTTTATCTTGCTTTGATTTTTTTCTTTATTTTTTCCAGCCTTGGCTTCCGTTAGTGTGCTGTCCTCCCTTGTCTGTCACCTGGCAGAAGACAGCACCATTTTTTCTATGGGTTTGGATGGGAGCTGCCATAGGCTGCATTCTGGTTCATCCCTGGGCAAGTGCCTGACCATGAGCACTGCATGCATATTGCTTTCATCCCTGTTCCTTTGTTGGATCAAAGCAACAAGTTCCCTCAATGACAAAACTGTATGCATCTGGAAGATGTACCTCATTTACTGTCACAGACATGGGTGCAAGTGAGGCTACATTAAATTTGGCTCTCCTGGCCCTCCCCCCATTCTCCATTGCTATCCCAATATCACCTCATCTCCTGTGTACACTTGTGGGCAGTGCTCACCCACAGCATCATGTTACAGAAACACCATCCTCATGGGTTTTTGGCACTTGGAATGGAAAAGTTGTGGGGGGGAAGGTGATGTTTTATGTTTGCAAGGGCAACAGAGGAGTCTTCAAACAAGTGCTGTGCGTCACTGCACAGTCACACTTTGCAGCTCAGCCTGGGGGCTGCCTGGGGAGCATGCATTGATGGAGCAGACACTGTCTTTGAATCAAATTCCTCTCTGTAACAGTCAGACGCTACCACTGATGGGAATGTTTCCTTTACAAATGCATTTAGAGATTGACACAGCCACTTCATAAATGGTGGAGGAGAGGGATTTTCACAGCTATGCTGCTGCTGTGAGCTGTGATGTGCATGGGTGGGATTCACGGCGAGGAGGGCTGCACAGCCAAGGGTGGATTCTGTTCACATCCTTTTCTGTGCCTCTCTTCATCTGATATTGTTCAGATCAGCAGAAATGAAATACTTGAAATGAATGAATCTTTCATTCAGTTGTGGTTGAAAGATTAAAAAAAAATAAAAATAAAAACCAATGAAGAAGTATTTTCTATCTATCATTTCACGTTCCTCTTAGTAAAAATGTCCTTGAGTGAAGGAAAATGTGACAGGGACACATCCTGAGTGACAAACCTTGAGCTCTGGAGAAAGTACAGATAGTTCTATGTTTCTAGTTAATGACATTTTTCTTTTTACAGCTTTTGAAAAAGTATATCTTTAATACACAGATTTTTCACAGCTGTGTTTAAATCTGTGAACATCTCTACTATTGAAAAATGAAATTTCTGCCTATCATCTGTAAGGCCGTGTGCTAGAAAAGCACAGTGCATCAGGTAGAGATGAATGCCATGCTACTTTAATAAGATAACAGAGCCCTGACTTTTTCCAGCTCCTCTTGCATGTTATCCTGAAATGAACTTTCTTGCTTAGTGGCTTCATTTGTATCATCATTTTCAGTCACTAACACATTAAAAACATACCATTAAATTCCCTGATAACTTTTGAGCACTTACTGAATTAGAACAAGATTCATGACTGCTTCTGAGCTGAGAGCTTTCTGCTTTTATTGCAAGTATTGGCTTGCTTCATGTTTTTGCCATGAAGACTTTAGTCAGTTGGAATGATTTTTGCTATGTGTTCATGACACATCCTCTGTGATTGTTTTGTCTTTCTCTGTTATCTGCAGGAGCAGTCTCAGCCCTGGCAGATCATACCCGTGTGGAGGTTTGATGAGCATGGACTTACACCAGCATGAGAGGAATGCGAGATAGGGTTACGATTTCTTTTCCAGGAGAGTCACGTTGCGCAGCTCCCCACGTGCACCATTTATAGAAGGACCAAGGGCTGCAGCTTGTCCTGCAGTCCTAACAGAGATCAAGCTGTTACAAGGTAAGCATTTTTTTATTGATGTGCCAGGGGTGACACAAGATAATGTCACTCTTCTAATTTATATGGAACAAAATGGTGCAATTTTGGTTTGTAAACAAGTTCTCCTAAGCCGAAAGCTTAAAACCTGATCCCTCCCTGATCCCACTGTACTTCTTCCCTGCTTTCCTTCACCCCTATTTCAGGCCACGTATACCAAGTATGTAGAGAGCAGCATGCTGCATATCGGGTATCTCCGACAGCTGGCAGCATCCTTGGAGTGCACGCATAGCACCAATAGCGCAAGAGCGAACCCAAAGGCTTTGAAATGTTTCATGAGGTTTGCTTATATGTTACGTTTTCTCCAGGTGCTGTTTCTGTATGTTTCAAAGTTTGAAAAAAATTCTCTTGTTTTTAAATTGATGATGAATGCTGAAAAGCAGACACTGTGCTAAGCACATATCAGTGCTTTTTTCCCATCTATTTGAAGTCCTGAAGGGCACTCTGGGAACTACTGCTTTTTTTTTTTTTTGTCAACAGCTCAATAGTACAGTTTCTATTTAAATTTGATGTGCAGTTTGTTATGCTATCTATACATACCATTTTTGTGTGGAGTGGATAAGAAAAGTATTCGTGAGAAGAGAGAACTGAGCCAAAGTGAGTAAACCTGACGTGATAAAGTGTGCAAACTGTACAACAAAAATGCTTCCCACTCCTATTGAAAAACACTGCCCAGACCTCCTCCCATTCTACTGCTGTAATGTATTTCTTCATGCTGTAAGCTATTTTTCAGTATTTTCAATTATTGTTCTGTGTACCTTTTGAAAGCAGCATGATTTCAGTTGTTTGTGTGATGATTTCTCTGATGATAGATGGAAATCCCAGCTGAGTTTCTGTCTCCAGTATGCTAATTAGCAGACAAATAGAGCAAAATCAAGTGGTTGCATCTTGCAGGATGCTGCCTGCTTTAACTAACTGAGCTCCCTCTAAATGTGTTTGCAGCTGACAAAACAAACTGTAGGTCAGTCTAAAGGGATTTGTTGCGATATGTAAATAAAATGGATTCTTTTTTTCCTACCTAAAAGCAGTGATGTAATTTTGACGGTCATTTGCTTTAATTGTAGCTGTCTGAAGTTCAGACTATGGAACATAAAATTTAAATTGGATTGCACAGAAGGTTTGGGATAGAATTCAGATAATTTAGTTTCATTATTTAATCAGAGCATGACAGCGCATGCATTTATTGATGGAATACTGCTGACTGGAAGAGTCAATGCAAACAAAAGACCACTGGAAGTAGCAGCTGCCTCTGTCAATAGATTCAAAATCAAGAGAGAGTTTTGAGTATGCTTCTATTAATTGAATATGGAATCATTTTACTTAGAAGGATTTTAATTACACTAATCTCAGTGTCCTCATTACACACTTAAGCGGACTGAACGTCTGCGATCTTGGAATAAAATATGGTTTGAGAAAAGAGAAAATGGGAGAGCAGCAGAAAAAAATTTAGTGAAAAGTAATTTGGGGTGAAGACATTATGTCTGTGTAATTTGCACAGAACGATTGTGAACATGAAATAAGAGCAACCAGATTTTCACTGCAGGTTTTTCATTCTCAAAGATAACAACACATTAAAAGTTGATTCAGGTTTGTTAGTGGGTGTACAAAATTGTTTGCATTCTTCAGACCACCAAGCTCAGGCTGCCTTGTGATCATAGCCTGCTGGTTTTCTATTGGGTGCACCTCCAAAGGCAATGCAGTGAGAGCAGGAGCACATAGCTCTTGTGGTTCTACATTAATTTTTGATTATTTCTTGTTCATTGCAGAAATATCACTTTTGCTATCAAACTGCTAATAGAAAAAGAAGCAGATTATTTTGTTTTCATTTTCATATGTATTAATATGCTCTGTCCCAATATATACACCAAGATTTTTTAGACTCTTGTGAAATGTGCTGCATCCAGAAGACCCACAGAGATCCCCCATCCAAAGGCAGTTCTGTTGCTCATTGTTGGTCTTCTGCTCTGGGCAAGAAAATGTTTGGCTCTGTGCAGATTACGCAGCCAGTTATCAGGCTGTCATGTCTTCATTTCAGGCACTTGATCTCACTGCTCATTCTTTGAAGGCTGGAGCTCTTCTGCAAATCACAGAGTTGTTTTTATTAATTTGTTAAATGGGAAGTTAAATATCAATTCCAAATCACACGCTGGGTGAAACAGATTTCTGTTTTATTCCACGGCTTTGATTGAACTCGGGAGAAGAGCATTTTAGGAAATTGCAGTGAGTGGAAACAAAGAAGCAAAGAACACAAAGGGGAAGAGAAATGTTTGTGACTGATCTGAGGCAGCAGAGCCAGATTTGCAGCTAGGGAAGGAGGGCTGAGATCTTATTAAAAAGCACAGATTGTGACTGGGACAGCACAGTGAGATACTTCTCCCAGACACAGAAATAAATCTTGCAGGCGGCTTCCAGCCATGCACCGTCTGGCCAGTGAGGCAGGCAGCAGTTGTGGGGAGCGGGCCTCAGCTCGGAGCAGATAGGGAGGGCTCTGTTAATTGTAAGTAGGACTGGAGTGCACAAGTCGCTGCTGCAGCTGCAGGGGATGTGCCAGCTTCATTAGAAAAACCACAGTCAGCAGAAGGAGAATGGGTGATGTCTCTGTCTGAACAGTGAGTATGTGCAGGCACCATGGGGGAATGTTTGTTTGTCTCCTGCTCTGTGGAAGGAAGCTGCCTTGTGCAGAAGTGTGAAGTCTGGACAGCAGCGCTTATGTGTGAAGGGTTATAGGCACAGCTCAGTTGGGCTCTGGTATCAGTGGGCATAGAAAAACTCATGTCTATGCATACGAGAGGTTGGCATTATGCAGAACTGAGCATAAGCTATTGGTGTCAAGAAGTACTTGGCAAAAACTTCCCTGTGTTTTCATCTACAAATACTTGTTTATAAGCAGTCTGCAACTCCATAATAAACTTCACTGGTGGTAGACACATTGCCTTCAGCGTCTGGGAGAAATTAGAATCACAGAATGGTTTGGGTTAGAAGAGACCTATAAGCTCACCTAGTTCCTACCCCCCCCCACATCATGGACAGGGGCACCTCCCTCTAGACCAGGTTGCACAAAGCCCCATCCAGCCTGGCCTTGATTGTCTCCAGGGTGGGAGCATCCACAGCCTCTCTGGGCAACCTGTTCCAAGTTCAGTACAGCACAGTTTTCAGAGCTTGTTTACACTGAACTGATTTCAAACAAACTAATGAACCTGATTAGGTTCAGATGAGACGTGAAGTTTGATTAACCAAATTATTTGTGAGGTTAAGATCTTAGAGAAAGTCCTGAAGATATTACCACAGACTGACAGTAGCAGCTTTTTCTAGCTCTGACAATTTAAGGGACAAGTATCAAATATATTGGGGTTTGACTCTGAAAGAATGAGGACACAAATTCTAAGTTGTTCTAATGTACAGGAAAATGAATCCACAAAGCAAAGACAAGCAAAAAAGTCCAAGCTGGCAGTGGGGGAATTGCTGGCCTCCTAGTGCAGAACAGGTATGGATGTGTTGAGACAAGCTGAAAGAGTAATTCAGCTCCATGTGTTACACAGCAGCTGATTGCTGCTGCCATTTGGCAGTTGTGCAGCAGACTGAAGGAAGGCTTTGAGCCCACTCACCAGCTGGTTTTTAAAAGGAAGAGGGCAAGGGAATCCCTTCTGATGTTCAATACTAGTACAATACACCAGTAAGGATGAAGAGCAGTTCCTTCTTGCCACGCCACTTCAAAAAGTGCCTATCAGCTGCTAAAAGGTATGGCAAGTTAATGCTCTGCCTACCTGAGATTAGAAAAGCTGTGTGTAAGTGAGGTTGGATTAGATTTTATGCATGTCACACATCAGGATTTGTCCTGGATGATACTAGGGCCTTTTTCTCTACCAGCTCCGTGGGTCTGGGGGTGGATTGTGAGACAGTTCTAGCACACTGTGAGCAGGGACCAGGAGCAATCCCCCAGCATGAGGGCAGCTCTATGCAGAGCCAGGCAGTCACTATTCAGGTCTCCTTCAGCCCTCCCACTCAAGGCTACCAGCTGCACTATCACTAAACTGGCCCTGAGCCCTGGCAGCTGAGCCCCTGAGCTCTTGGGTACTATGCAGGGCTCGTTTTATCTGCTCAACAGAGGTCTGTCCTATCTGCCACAGACAGCTGGCCCCAGCCTCCATTCCTTCCTACTTGTGGTCTTTAGAGCTGCCTCTCTCTCATTTATGCTCTGACTGATTTAGGTTCAAGGCAAGTAATGCATTCTTTGCTCCAAGGCCAGCTTTCCTCAGTCCTTTCTATCTCTGCAAGTAGGTGGTTCTTTCAAGCTCCAATACTATCTGAACAACAGTGCTTTAGGCTGAGTCTATAAAGCACATTTATGACTTAGGTTGTTGCTAAATCTTTCAGGAATTTCTGTCTACAAATTAAGCATGTTCTGTTTTGCTGCAGGCTATAGTTGATTGGGCATGAATTTAAGTAGTTTGCAGAGTACAGCTGCTGTAACTGAAATGTGAAATATTGGTTGCCGTGACAGTCAGTCTTACAGTTTTGTGGAATATCAAAATAAGAAACAAACTATTAAAATATGTGAACTTAAGCTCTGAATCACACTTGGCATTTCTGCTTTAGAGAACAGAACATGTGAAACACAGGTTTCCAGTACTTACAGTTTTTTCAGCCCTGGGGTTAAATAAACCAATATGATCCTACCACTGGAAACTGGTACCAGAGGTATTGGGCACTCACAGAATGCAGAGGCAGATAGAGCAAAGCTCCAGGCTGGTTATGCTCTTGTAGCAAGCCGTTTCCTTGTGAAAATGACACTGTGCACATATTTACTGTGGAAAATAATGTTAGAGAAAGCAGTGCTGTCATATTAAATAGCCAATGGTTCCATGACTTTTTTTTCTTTTTACATTAGAAGAATGCAGATTATGGAGAAATAACACCTTATTTAAATACTAGGCAGAAGAGAGATAAAAGTATTGAACCAAGTG